ACACATATGTATTACTTTTGTTATTGGAAAAAATAAAAGAAACTTAATAAAAAATGTTAGAAGGAAGTTAGAAAAGATCTTAATCATATAAAACAAATTAACAAAGTCAAAAGAATGAAGTTTTGTTCTCAAACATGTAAATCCCACCTTCCTTTTGACATCCACCAGTTAGTTTACCCACTGGCAGAAGAGAGAAAGGCAAATGTGCAGGGTGTGAACCAGAGATGCAGATTACAAAAATCCAAATGAGAGAATAAAATTTACTGGGATAAGGTTTCACTTGTTACCATAACTTTGGTTTTGATGAATACTAGGCTTGGGGCAACATTTCACAAAATAAATGAGAAAAAAGTTACAAACATAATGTAAGCGATACCAACTTAAAAAAAAAAAAAAAAGACAAAGAACCATTTTTCAAAATCCCCCCAAGCAAAGACAATTACATTTAACCTTTTGTGTGTGCCCTTACGTCTTTTTTATTTTTTACTGTGTTTACTTCTTAATTATTGCTAATTAATATTTGTATCATCGTGTATTTGGTAGTATTTCATAGCTTACTTTCTTCACGCAGTGTTATATTAACAGTTTTTCATGTCAGAATATTATTTCACAAAATGATTTCAGTGACCGTATGGTCTTCTGTTGCATTAAAAAAACCATTGCCATCAAGTCAATTCTGACTCATAGCTACCCTATGGGACAGAATAGAACTGTCCCCATTGGGTTTCCAAGGAGCAGCTGGTGGATTCAAACTGCTGACCTTCTGGTTAACAGCCGAGCTCTTAACCAGTGTGCCTCCAGGGCTGTTCCACTGCATTAAGTGGTCTACAATTTACTTGATCAGTTGCCTGACAGTTGATATTTTGGGTAGCTTTCAATATTTTGCTATTGTAAAAAATCGTGTATATACATCTTTGAGAATATATCTGATACTCTTCTGAAGATTTATTAACAAAATTCTTCCTTATTGTTGTTAGCTAATTAGAAGTAAGGGCCACATCTGACTTTCCGGAGGATGGACACTAGCAGTGTTTATGTGACAATGAAAGCCCAACTGGGGCTAAGATCCAGCACTGGGCGAACTATCATGAGGTCCCCTTTCAAGGATCCTTTCAAAGATCAAAACCTGTTTCACCCTCCCCCCCGCCACCCAGAATCTCCTCCACGGCATCTTGGAAGTGCTGAAGAACGCTCTGGGTGTACTTGAACCTCCAACCTTCTGGTTACCAGCCAAGTTTGTGAGGTCGCCATGAATTGGACTTGCTTGATGGAAACTGGTTTTCTACACACAGAAGAGAGTTACAAAGTTAGGCTGCCCAGAGCTGTCTTATTCAAGGACAGTGCAGAGACTGCTGGAACCCCACAGTAGTGAAGTGAGGCCCAGCAATGGGCCACTTTCTGGTTGAGGTAGGAAGCTGTCCCCTGCCTCTTAGCAGTGACTCCTTACAGTGGAAAACAAAGTCAAGAGTCAGCCCTGGGATCTGCACAGGAAGAAAAGTGTTCACAGTTGCTTAAGGTCTAGCCTGAGGTCTAGGGTGGGGAAAGAGCAGAGGATATATGACCTATCCTACTTCCTTTATTCCCCAAATGATTCAGAAAAAATGCTATACCTTCTTCATCCAACCTCTACCTGCCAGGTTAATTCAAGCATAGGTTGCAGGCAGGGGTAGATTTTCCAACATGCAAGGTAAGCACGAACCTTAGCTTGCTTACCAGATCATCTGTAGTGAAACCCATGTGAAATTGTTTCCCAGTAAGCAGAAGTAAGCCCATGTTTACCTTGCTTACTGGGTCATCTGCCCCTGTCAGGGATTGTAAATTTGAAAAGAGGCTTTGATTCTGTAGGAAGGTGCTGGGGGGTTGGGAGAGAAACAGATGCCAGTCATGCCTAGAAGCAGAATCTTTGATGTGAAAAAATGTGAAACTGTTCACTACAGATGATCTGGTAAGCAAGGTAAGCACTGTGCTTAACTTGCCTGTTGGATAATCCACCTCTGGTCACAAGAGTTTTCTGCTCTCCACAGCTTTCAGTATAACATTGGTCACTCTGGGTTCCCTGGGGCTCTTGGCTTGCTTCTCTTCTTGCCTGCTCACTGGGCCTTCACATTTTTTCCATCATTGTGAATATCACCTTGGCTGATGCTTCCCGTAGAAGCAGGATATTCTATGCCCCGTGCTCTAGTTGTTACAATCCTACATTCATACCTATCATTTTGTAAGCCTGCATGTCAGCAAATTGAATTGCTAATTAGATCGTACTAATTAGCAGCTGCTTATGAAAGGAATTCTGAACAGACTGGAGGGAGGAAAATGCTGTAAATGTAAATTCTGAAGGAGATTAACTCTATACAATGAAGCCATTTTTGGGGGAAAAAACTTTATTTAAAAGGTCAGAGGCTAAAAACCACAGAAAAAAAATTCTCCTAGTAACCATAAAAATATTAGACACCATACTTAGTTTAACTATCTTCCTCAAATCAGTTCTTATGGGCTGTCTGTCCTGGAAAATAGTATTGCCAACTCTCCTAATCAGTTGGCCTTAGACAGGGCTGAGGCTAGGTGAGACAAGCGAGCTGCCTAGGGTACAAAATGTAAGGAGCCACTCACTCTTAGGGTCAGCCGTGGTCTTCAAACCTCCCATGTAGGCAAGAGCCAATTCCAGTCCAATCTCCCTCTACAAAGTCTCTCTTAGCTGCTCCCCTGCCCATGGTGGATGCTTGGCATGTTAGACTAATTATGGACAGGCGAACATCTCTTTTCTATTCTCACTATAGATGCTCTAGTCGAAGTCATAGTCATTTATTTCCTGTTTGCCATCGAGTTATTTGTTACCATTGAGCTATGTTACAATTATATCCTATGTTCTTCTAATCCCCAGTATCTTGCACCCTCATTGCATTTATGTGACTCGTGACCTAAAGAATATAGTCTAAACTCCTTGGCACTGGCATTCATGTTTCTTCCCATCGTGGTCCCATTGTGCTATCAATCCACTTTTCCTTACCTCATACTTCCATTCCCACCCCAAGCACATTACAACTCATTTCAGCTTATTACTCACCATCCTCTGCATATAGCATGCTCTTCCATGACTTAGCACCATAGCTCATGTTCTTTCTTCATTCTAGGGTAAATTTTCTCCAACTGGCAAAAGCCAAACCAAGACCCAGCTCAAAGGTTACCTCTCTCTCTGTTGCTCTAGTCTTGTTTTACAGCTCTTATTTCATTCTGCCTTATATTTAGTTAGGATTTCCACACAGCTACAGTTCTACTCTGTCCTACAGGGTCACTGTGAGTCGATGACACACAGCAACAACAACTTCCCTGCCATCCCTCCCCCAACACCAAGATGGGAAGGTTCTTGGCCGTTGGCAAAGTGCCAAGTTGCCCTTGTAGCCCTCACACCACTTTGTGCAGAAGGATAATCTATAGATGTTTATTAGACCCAAGTGTAAAACTGGACAAAGGTAGCTTTTTGTAAGTCATTATTCATTTTTTTCTCCCACTACTTTTATTCTCCCACTGTTACTACTTTCATTCACTTCTATCTCTTCATCTTTGACTTTTGACTCTAACAGGGAAATAAAATCGGCAATTGGACTTTTACAAAAAGCAGCAAGCGATCATTAGAAGACTTAGCTTGGTAAGGGTGGAATTGTCATTGCTCTTATTCATAGTCCTATTCTCAGTGCTTTGCACTGAGTAGGTGCTCAATATAAATACTAACAAAAGAGTGAGTATATAGCACTTATAATTATTTTATGCCCGAGTTGTGTTGCATATTATTATAAAAAGTTTATGTAAGCATTTATATAATTTTCAAGTTTTCTTTTTAACCATTTAAAATCTCTGCATTAACCTCACAGAGTACACTACAGAGTGCTTCTTTCCCAGTTTTACCACTCTTCAGTGATTTCTATTAATAGCCAAATAAGCCATCCACCAAGTTGGGGTTGGACCAGGTGGTCCTGGAGACAGGAGTGAAGTGAACACTTGGTCTCAGCCTGCCTGGAATATCATTAGCCTCTTAGAGCTTTTGCATTTTCCTGTAAGACCACGAGAAAAAAGGGAGAATTTTGTACATGTAGTAACATTTATTTATGCATTCAGTATCAAGTACATAAGTGCAAATATCCAGATTCCATGATTAAGTTCATTAGGAACTACAGAGAAAGTAATATAAATCGTAATAAAGTTAACATGCTGGTACTCTTTTAGTTACCATACATGTAAGTCAGCCCGTCAATCCCATACAACAAAAGTACTGCGTGTTTGTTTGGGGTTTGTTCATTTATTCATTATTTATTCAAGTTATACAAAACTGATTACCATGAGTATGGTCGACTGCTTTTACTTTTACATTGTGTGTGTTGGAAAAACACTAAAACATCAGTCTACAAGTCTATATATATTGTTATTAAAGATTAATCCAACCAGCAACCCAGGGACATATAAGTAATTTCCACTATTGCATCAGTGCACTCAGGAAAGGCCTAGCCACAGGGAACATTAGAAGCTACAGAAGCATTGCAGAGAGGAGAAGAACACCGAAGAAGGAAAGATAACTTGGGCTCTCACCATCATGCACTTTTTTTTTTTTTTTTTTTAGCAACACGAAATAAAAACCACATCTAATATACTTTTCTCTATACTTTAGTGCTTGACACAAATGACTCAAATAGCCTAAGAGTACAGAAACAGCCTAAAAACAGCTGTTTTAGTTTGTCTCTAAGATTATGGTACTGGGGGAAAAACAATCAATTTGCAGTAACATGTAAGAACAGAGCTGTTACCACTCCAGACATTCCTGTTTGTGTCCACTCCCCGGTGGGATATCAATTTACTCGGCATGCCTTTTAGCGCCTGGGATTTTAGCCTGAATCCTGAAAAGACATAATATCAAAAGATAGTAATTAATGAAATCATTTCATGTGTTCATTATTTGTTTGTGCTTTAACTAGCTAAGAGCTTAGTATTCAAGAAGGTATTATAGCTTTATATATGAGTGTCTATACACATTTTTCTATATAGCAATGAGAATAAAGTGTAATAAAGAATAAAGGTGATGACTGACTCAAGAAAGCCCCATTCTTTAGATTATGTATGACTTTTTGGTCAGATGAGCACGTTGACTTATTTCAGGACTGCAGAAGCTATGATATAGTTAGTGTAACCATTAACCAAACTGAGACACTTTTTTTTTTCTTTGTTGTACATACATAATCTTTTAATTTTATTTCTTTTCCTTTTTTTATTGTTGTACTTTAAGTGAAAGTTTACAATTCAAGTCAGTCTCTCATACAAAAATTTACACACACATCACTATGTGACCCTAGCTACTCTCCCTACACTGTGACAGCACACTCCTCCCTTCTACCTCAGACCCCCGCCCCCGCCGTGTCCATTCAACCAGCTCCCGACCCTCTCTGCCTTCTCAGCCAAACTGAGACACTTCTGAAAGAGAAAGTAGGTACCAATTACGCCAGGACAATAGGCATAAACAGGGATGACTCCAGGTAAAGGGGCTATATAGTCATGGTTGGCATAGTAAAACTACCCAGAACTGGGATCCAGAAACCTGGGTCCTAGTCCCAGCTCTGCTACTGCCTAGCTATGTGACATAAGGCCAGTCCCTGAGCCTTTCTCATCCTAGAGCACTCATCTTTAAAATGTGGGTGTAGACTGGATACCTCCAAGGCCCTAACATTCTATGATTTTAACACTACGACACCATGATTTTAGGACAGGTTTACACCAGATGAATTTGGATTTGTTAATTCAAAGCTTTATGAGCTCATCATGTCAGTTTTGACCGAGACATTACTCTGTGCTAGGTACCCAGGTGCTGGAATTCAGTGGTCAACAAAAGGGAGAAGGTGCCTGCTCTCACAGGGCTTTCATTCTATTAGGGGTTGAGTAGCCAGAATAAATGAGTAGACAAACAAGAGAAATTTAGATGGTGATAAATGCTATGAAACAAAACAAAACAAGGTATTGTGCTAGGAAGTGAATGGACAGCAATGACAAGGTGGGGTGGTGCTGACTTTAAATCCACTGATTGAGACATGCATACCTAAAGAACAGGAAAGGGTCACCAGACAAAGATCAGGGCATGAGGTGTTTTGGGAAGAGGAAGTAGTGAGGGCAAAGGCCGTAAAGTGAGGATAAGCCTGGGAGTGAGGGGCGTTGTGGCCACTGCACTTGGAATGCGGAGGGGGGGGGGCGTCTGAGAGGCAGGCAGTAAACAGATGATGTCAGAACTTGTGGGCCATGGTGAGAAGACGAGATTCTATTCAGTGTGATGGGAGGTCATTGACGAATTTTAGGCAGAGGGATGATGTGACCTGATTCCTGTTTCATGAAAATCACTATGGGTACTGTGTGAAAAAAATTGGGAAATAGGGGTGAGAGCAATAAAGGATGGAGGGAAACCTGCAGCAGTCCATGTGCCAGAAGGCAATGGCATGGATTATATGGTGGACACAGAAATGGAGAGATATGAACAGTCTGGGGATCTGTTTTGGAGATGGAGCTGACAGATCCCCTGACATATTGATGGATTGAATATGTGGGCAAAGGAAAGAGGGGAGAGTAATCAAGGAAGAGTCTTCTGTTCTGGGGCTGGGCAGCCAGATGAATGATAATGCTATTTACTGAGATGGTGATGACCAAGGGAAAACACATCTGGGTGAAACTGCAAGATCTGTTTCGCCATGTTGAGTCTGAAATGTCTATGGGACATTGGAGAGAAAATATCAGATACATAGGTGGATAGACCTGGCACTCAGTAGAGGAGGTTTGGGCTGGAGACACAAGTTTTGGAGCCCTTGAAGTAGAGATAAAGGTTTGAGCCACAGGACTGGATGAGAGGTAGGTCAGAGGAGGAGGATTTGGAGAGGACACTGAGAGAAAGTGGCCAAGGCTCAGGCAGTGAAAATATATCCGAGAAGAGTATTTATCGAAGGCAGTATGGTGGTGATGAGGGCTCTGACAGGCCAAGTGTAATGAGGATGGGAAGGAGACTGCAGGATTTGACAATGTGGAGGTTACTGGTGACCTTGGCAAGAATAACTTAAATGCTCAGAGTGAAGGCCTGATTGGACTGAGCTGGGGGAGAGAATGGGAAGAGAGGAAAATAGAGATATTAATAACAAAATTCTTCTGAGAATTTTTGCTGTAAAGGGCTACCAAGAAATGGTGTGCAAGACAGTGTGAGACACAGAATCAAGGTTTTTTGTTTTTTTTGCTTAAGACTGGCAATATTACGATTATGGAAGTAAGCCAGTAGAGGGAAAGACTGATAATGCAGCAAAGAGGTAAACATTCCAGACACCTTAGATCTGTATACTGCTTTTCAAAATAGTTTAATACATACTTTTTAATTTTGAAAAACTTAGATTATTACAGTAGACTGGGTGTTAACTAATTCTACTTTCTTCCCAATGCAGAAGTCCTTTCTATCACATCTGTGAAAGTGGTCAAGTAACTTCTCCTTGAATACTTGAATGTCAGGAAGCTCACTGCTTCATGGAGCAATTTGTTCCATTGTTGAACAACTCTAACTGCTACTGTTGTTCCTTATATTTCATTCAAATCCCAGAAATTCTAGAACTTCCACTCACTGCCCTTTAGAGAAAAACAGAAAGTCTACTCCTTTCACAATGGTAAATCTCCAAATATTTGAGGATGGCTATTGTATTCTTTTAAAGTCATCTCTTTTCCAGGCTAATCAACCCCAGTTTCATTGAGTGGTTTTCACTGGCCACTGTCAGATTTTCCATACTCCAATACCCTTGTCAGCTTTCTTTGGCATTACTCCAGTACATTAATGCATCTCTTAAAATTTCCAAGCCTGTAATCAAACACAGGTATGGAATGACCAATATGGAATATAACAGAACCACGGCTCTTTCAATTTAGACTCTGTACTTTTAATAACATCTAAATTTGCTTTGAATTTTTAAAAAAGATGCTTCAGCACTCAGTGACTCATAGTTGGCTGTGATCAATTAATTACGCTACCCTTAAATCCTATCTCAACTGGTCCTCCCTCATTCTGTTTGTAAAGTTGCCTTTTTAAAAATGTAAATAATAGAAATTTACTTTCCCTATTCCATTTTCTTGATTTAAGCTCAGCATTCTAGCTTACTCAAGATCACTTGATTCATTTTGAATCTTGAGGTTGCCATCTTTGGAATTTGTTTTGCTCCAAGCTGTGTGTCACCTAGAAATTTGATAAGTATATTCGGCTTGTCTTTACCTAGTCATGTGAAGTACTGGGGTTAAAGGTAACAGGGTCAAAGTCAGGGCCCTGTTTCACATCATTACACCCACCCCAGACAGATACTTGATGGATTCATAAACATTATTAGGATCTATTTTTTCAACCTTCTAGAACTCTATTCAACAGTGCTATAATCTGGACCACATATACATCATTTCCATCTTCTCCACAAGGGCACTAGTAAGATTTGTTGAGTGCCCTAATAAAATCAAGATACTCACTGCCTAGGGCAGTCCATTTGACTTTTTGGTATTTACTTATATGCTAATGTAACCCTGGTGGTGCAGTGGTTAAGCATTTGGCTGCTAACCAAAAGGTCAGCAGTTCGAATCCACCAGCCACTCCTTGGAAACCCTATGGGGCAGTTCTACTCTGTCCTATAAGGTTGCTACGAGTAGGAATCGACTCAATGACAATGAGTTTTTTTTGTTTGTTTGGTTACTAATTCATTGTAGAATTTTGCTGGAAATTAGGCATTCAATTCATCAAATGGTAATTTCTAGAATCTACTCTTCTTTCTCATTTGAAAAATGGGACCACTCTGATCCAATTTTAGTTTTCAGGGATGTCCTTCATTCTCTGAGATTTATCAAGGATCACCAAGAGCATTTCTAGGTAAAATCTGAGGCTATTTAATCATCTTATATAACTCACCTGGACATAGAAAGTTGTATTCTCTTAAGGTAGATTTTTTATTATGTCCTTACTTATTTAAAGCTTTAATTCCCTCTATTTGTTTTACCTTTTAAAACTTTTTTCCTTATTTTCAAAACTCTAAGTAAATAAACCAAACCCATTGCCACTGAGTCGATTCCGACTCATAGCGACCCTATAGGACAGAGTCGAATTGCCCCATAGGGTTTCCAAGGAGCACCTGGTGGATTTGAACTGCCGACCTTTTAGATAGCAGCCAAACTCTTAACCACTACGCTACCAGGGTTTCCTAAGTAAATAGGGCAGGTGTTATTACCCTCACTTTATAGATAGGAAATTGAGATACAGAAAGTTTAAGTGACCTGGACAGGGTCATCCATCCACTCAGTATAGAGGAAGGACTTGCACTGAGGGCTTCTGACCAGTCTGGGACTGCACTCCACATCCCCCTTACACTGATCTCTAAACAGTAATAGGATAATGATGATGATGAAAGTGATGATGAAAATGATATCTAATGTTTTCTATGTGTCAGTAAGAGTACTTTACAGACATTGTCTCATTTAATCCCCAACAATTCTATGAGTTAAGTATTAACATTCCCAAGTTATAGATAAAAAGTCTCAGAGTCAAAAATTATGTATGATGAGCACATATAGATAAAAAATGCCAGAAATTAACTCAAACTAGTTTTTTTGATTCCAAAGATCATGTTCTTAATTCTTCTACTAAAATGGTGTAAATTCCCTTGCTGGAATTATTCTAAAACAGCATCAGAATTTCTGAGGTTAAAGGGACCTTAGAGGAAAGATCCTACTAAGAAATTTCCTTCCAAATTTAGTTTCAGGAAAAACACATTCTCTTGAAGAATTGCTTTCCTCCTTTCTGATAACAAGAACTATGGAACTTACCCACTTTCCCTTTTTGTCTTAGCTACCAAGAAAT